TTAATTCTGCCTGCTGGAGCCCACCACCCACCTACTCTTTGACTGGAGAGTGCTAACGGTCACCAAATGGTCCATCACCCACACCCTTACAACAGAATGAGCCCCTCCTCACCACCCCACCACCGTTCGCCCACCCACACCGTTCAAGGAACTCCAATACGCTGCCTTTCACTGCAGGGCTGCGGAGTCAGGAGTGGCTGGAGAGGAGCCTGGCCCACTGGAATGTACCTGGGCGCAGGTCTTTAGTCTATTCATGGTTACCACGGTGACCGGTGACCAGTTGTTGGGCCGTAAAGGGTTATGTCAACCTGGCCCCACATCTTGTGAGGTGGTGGTGCAAAAAGCCAATTTGCTAAGCGCACCCGCTTGCCAGGTGGAGCATCTTTGGGGAGAGCCATTATATCAGGAGCCAGGGTGGGGGACAAGCCCCACTCACACAGTCTTAGGAGGAAATGAAGCAGCTCATACACCGAGCCAACCCTGGAGCAGAAAGTCAGATACAGACTCCTGAGACCACACTTTTTGACAGATGAGGAAACGGGTCTAAAGAGCAAGGGGCTCATTGTAGAACCAGCCATCTGCCGACCTGGGCTTCTGGTGAGAAGTTCTCTCTCTTTCTCACTGTTTCTGAGCAAGAAACAGTGCTCGGAGGCAACTCTCCCGGTCCCTGCTCAGAAGCATCCTGGCACAGCCACCCTCTCCTCCATCACTCGCCATTTCAGCCGCTGGACTGCACTGGTCTCACCACTGAGCCCAGACCACAGACCCTCAGAGCCCCATGGCTGTCATTCATGGCATCTAACTGCCTCTAGTCTTGCTCCCAGTGAGCAGTCTGGGTTGCGTTGCTGTTTTAAACCAGTGGTTCTCAACCTTCCTAATGCCGCGCCCCTTTAATACAGTACCCCCCAACCATAAATTTATTCTCCTTGCTACGTCATAACTGTCATTTTGCAACTGTTAGGAACCAGACGACCCTTGTGAAAGGGTCGTTCAACCCCCAAAGGGGTCGAGACCCACAGGTTGAGAACCGCTGTTTTAAACAATGCTCCTCGCATTCTAGGTCCTCTGAATCCACAGACAGAAAGGCATGGCTCTGAATCTTTTCAAAGCACTGGCTACTTAAGATACTTAAAATTAGCAAATTCATGAACCGGTGCGCCCAGCACCACCACCACTGATTTGAGGCACGGCTGCTACCCTCCCTGCTGAGTTCATGACCAAGGTGCTCTACACCCAGCACGTGCAGGGGCCTTCTCTGGCAGGGGCGACTCAGGCCATAAAGACAAACAGCGGAGCAGGGCATTTGTTTCGGGCACTACTCAAGAGACCTCAACCAGACCAGCTGTCCCACCATACCCTCTCCAGCACTCAGCTCAGGGACTGGTGGGAGAAGCGTCACCAACAGCTCTACATTCTGCCACATGAAGCCCACTGCCCTCAGGAGGGTGGGGCTCGGTGGGCGCAGAATCCCACCCGGCATCTCCCAGCTCCAGGAGAGGGCCTGCACCTATCTGTGAGCAAGCTGGGACGACAAAAGGCAACAGAGAGAGGGGCTGGTGCCGCGGGG